TCCTGTCAAAATTAGAGGACTCCTTGATGCAGAACTCGTTGGTCATCTCGAATTTGATAATTTTGACTCATCGGCATATTTCGAGTATAGTTTGGTTAACGTACGTTGATATTTAAGGTATACGTGAAGGAACGTGAAGGAACGTGAGATAACGTACACCCGTAAGCCCACTAACAACGTAGCTGTCAATTTCTACGTTTACGTTAACGTTCATGACAACACTTCAACTCTCTAATATCTAGACTTGTTCGTCGTGTGTAAAAAGGCAGAAAAAGATCACTTGCAACTAAACGCTCAACACATGTGAAGTCAAAAATTTTCGATCAAAATTGTAACATTGTAAATTCTAATTATGAACCGAATTTCAAACATCTCATTTCAGCAAAGAGTACGGCAATTTCGAAAATTCAGAACCACATCAAGGAAACAAAGTGTGGAATGTTTTTGACATCACAGAAAATTATAAAAAAATGTTATTAGGAACTGTTTGTAATACTGCAGGATAGTATTATGTATTCGTCCTCTCCCTATCCTTCTTATAGGTAGGCACGATGTTTCACTTAATCGAGATTCCTTAGGTGCAATCAAAAAATATATGAAAACGACTAATATGAACAGATATTAAACGAACTTCAAGGAATTGAATAGAAAATGAGAAACAGAAGTAACAAATAATCTAATTTGATGGAATATTTGATTACGTTTCCAGAGTTGAGTATGAGTAGTTCATATTGACTCTCTTAATCAAAGGACATTCAGACTCAAATAATCTATCTACATCATTTGCGGTATTTTCAAAAGCATATCGAAAAATTCGGTGTCATAGACGATACAAAACACTAAAACAGTCTTTTTGAAATCAAGGAAGCACCAATAATAACCTATTTGGCACAATGAGAAGGAAACTCGGCAGATCACATGGTTGATTATTGGAACTGAATTGAAGTCATCCTAAAAGTTCATAGAGAGATTGAAATTCTTAGTGTCGCTACTTTTTTAGCTTGCTCCCAAAATTTTCGAGTTGATTATTTCATCAGCTCTCATTTTATATTGTTCGATAAACAGTCGATAGTTTTTTCAAAATTCATGTTGGCAACTAGTCAGCATTTCCTACCAAAAATGAAGAAGACATTCTTCAATGATTGGATGGAAATGCATCAATTCAAAAGATACAGGGCATTCTAGTTCAGCATATATTAGTCTAGCCGATGAACGAAAAATAGATTCATTGATTTGTGTAGTTCTCATTTTGCTAAAGGGATAAGAGAAAGTGACCTGAACAACCTGCAACAAAGTCTCAACAGATGGTGGTGACACAACAGTTGGAGAGGGGTCAACGGAGCTATTTTTTTCAAACTGTTAGCGAATTACTCGAAACGTATTGGTTCTATCAGAAAATAAAGTGTCCATATACATATCAGTCAAGATGAAACTCTTCGCAAGAACAATTTCATACATTTCTTATAGGATCTATCAAGGGTTCAGAAGATGTTAAAAAGAGAAAAAAGAATATTTCGATTCAATTATTTTCATTCCCTCTTTTTTTTTTGTTATCTTACCATTTTTATGAACTACGGCAACGTCGCTTCGTTCTCCGCGGCTATCTTTGTTTTATATTATTACTATATTATATTTTTTTCAATAGTGCCATTCTATAGTATACCTTGATACCCTTCTGGGGAATTGAATTTAATAAATTTATTTTCATTACACTCTGTATATTTGGTCAACTCACTAGTTTCTATGTGGATCGATATGCCAGACCTTGTGTATCGATAAATAGCACCCACTGAATTATAAGTCAAAGGTAACGCTCAAGCCTTTTGAAAAAATATGGTCGTGCTTTTCCTTTTCCAAGTTTACTTAGAGCAGTCCTCGAAATCAATTGGATCATCTTTGTGGAGAATTTTATGCAGATTGATTTTGCTCATTCACAATTTTTGTTTCCAGAACTGTAAAACTGTACTTTTGACCGCTACTCCCACACCTCGCGTCACTGTAATGTCACTGAAATTTCATAAGGAGGTTATTCACTTATTCAGAAATCAGAACACTTCCTCTTACCCATATATCCAGTTATCCAGTACTAAATGATCTAATCGTTTTATTTATTCTTTGTTCATTGGACATTAATATGGTAACGTTGATGAAATTTGTTAATTTGCGATAGAAAATAAGCGTACGCCACCTATCGGAGTTCTTGAAAGCTGTCAAAGCGGTATGTTCACTTTGTTTTCATTGGTTCACATTTTATGTTCGTTTGTGCTTATTGGTCATATCGTTAGTGAATCCCCTTTTTTTTGAGACTGCCGGATTTCTTGGTTGCATTGAAGATAATATTAATTTTCCTAACAAGTGCGGAAAGTGATTCTTTTCCGCACGCAACTGCCGTTGACACGAACTACGCGAAGCGGAGTTCGAGCAAGCAAATAATTTCCCGCACTAGTGTGGGAAAGATTTTCCCGCAATGTTGCGGGAAGATGATACTTTCCAAACTAAATTGCGTGCGGGTAAAGGGTGAATCACGCACGCTTGTAGAACAAATATTTTGCGGTATTCACGTTCCTGTCCTATTTTTGTTGTGAAACTCAAGATGACCTAATCATATTTTGCATGACTGAAAACATCAGAGAAATAATGTTGAGCTAAGAACTATGTCTGCGCGAAAGCCAGTGGCGAACTCCATTTTTTGTCGATGTATGGTTTTGGTGATATGATACGACTACACAAATACCTCTAAAAGAAAGTTCTTTCTACCTTGGGAAAATTTTTAAATATATTGATGTCGAAATCAAGGTTACATGCAAAAACTTTTGTAGCATATTTTGAAGTGTTATACTTTTGTTTTACTGAGGTGGCCTCTAATTTTTATTTCGATTCTGTTCAAATCATATATTTATATCAATTCATACAAATTGATTTTGTATCTAGTGAAATTGACGATAATTTTTTTCAGAATTTTGATAAAACATTGATGATATTCATCTGAAAGGTCGGATAACACATTCAATCTATTTTATATTCATCATTGAATTCAGATTTCAGAAACGAGAAAAGCTTTAGAGCCTACAAGACAGCAAAGCTTTAGCAAATGGAAGTATTCTCAAGAACTCATTAATTAATAACCATCTGAAGTTGAAAGGTGATCCTGTCAATTTTTGTAACCACTATGTTTGTAGCAGCTATGTTGATGTTGATGATGTAAAGTGATTGATGATGTGAAGTGAATATCATTGTAATCGTTTGAAATAACCCAGTCAAATCCAGTATCGTTGAATTCGTTTAAATAATCTCTAATCGATTATGGAATGAAATATTATGTGTTCCATTTGAAAATCGAAAGTTGAGGTCATTTCCAAGAAAACCGGAAGATAAAAAAATATCAAAAAAAGTGAGACAGTGCTCTCTAGTGAGTATATTCGATGTTTCAAATTTCAGAAATATAGCTATAAAAACGAAAGAGAACCTGGACATTTCAGTCTGTGTCACCCAGTATGTGTCAACGTCAGCACTGCATGTATTTGATCTATTTTTCTAGTATTGTTAGAACGTGTGTCTATACTCGTAAATTGTATTGATTTTAAGCCATTTTCACGTAGATAAATTGTGTTTGGTGTATTGTGCAAAATGTATATATGTTCTGCTAGTTTTATTGCTGTTTCATCATCAATCTTAGAAAGTTCGTCTGCTGATGATTTTGTTTCTTGTTTTGAATTATCTATGGCTGCGGTCCAGTATAATATATGCACTGCGCATACTCGTCAACCAACAATTTCAAGCTGATCACGTGGTGTGCGCGAGTTCAATTCAGCGTAAAGAACTAGGTGTCCTTCAATTTCTTGTTAATAGGTCAGTATTGCCACGTGAATGTGAACTGCTACGAACCGGCACAGCCTAGTATATTCGAATTCAATGAGTAATTTCTGAGAAAGAAAAATTCGGCCGGCTTAGTTCATAAAACGCACGAAGATGAATTAATTATTAATGTGGGAATTATTGTTCTATATAGCAGCCGCCTTCTCGCTTTCAAGATATATGTAATGCTTCGTTGTACAGCTTGTAATCACTAATAAAATAGGTGAGAAATTGAAAATTAGAAACACCGTAAGGGCTCAGGTACTCAGATAGGTTGGTAGGTACCTACGTACATAGCAACCATCACTGTGCCAAAAATGAATAAGTAATAAGTGGAAGTACTGCTTCACCAATATTGGCGTCAAGTCGGCCAGTGGGCAACTTTTGTAATTTACTATTGAAAAATACCAATATTAAGCCAAATGATTGTTCTCTGGGGTGACATTGCTCTAAAAAATTAGGTGTCGCGTCAATTGGACGTGGAAAATTGGACGCACGACTATTGGTCGCAGTCAATTGGACGCGGCGACAATTGGACGCGGCGACAATTGGACGCGGCGACAATTAGACGCGGCGTCAATTAGACGCGGCGACAATTCGACGCGGCGACAATTGGACGCATGCGTAAATAAAAATAATTTTATAATTCCAATGAAATTCATTGTATAAAATATGAAATACTGATGGGCTTATATCCATAATTATAACAAATACCTGACAGGTTAGGTTAGGTTAGGTTAGGTATTTGTTATATTATAGATATGAGCCCTGCATATTCCATGCAATAAATTTCATTGGAATTATAAAATTATTTTTATTTTCGCATGCGCTCAATTGTCGCCGCGTCCAATTTTCGTCGCGTCCAATTGTCGCCGCGTCCAATTGTCGCCGCGTCCAATTGTCGCCGCGTCCAATTGTCGCCGCGTCCAATTGTCGCCGCGTCCAATTATCCGCGTCCAATTTTCGTGCGTCCAATTGACCACGTCCAATTGTCGGTAATCCAAAAAATTATGACCCATGTATCAATGTTTGCTGGGCTGATACCTACATAGAGATTATTTTACCAGACTAGTCTTGCCAAAATTGATTCTTGTTTGCCATTATTTCATTGAAATTGAAAAAACCATGACTCGCTAATTTATATTCTGATATCTGTTAAAAAATTTCCACAAGGACAACCTCGTCGAGAAAACAACCTTTTTTTATATCGTAATACATCGATGATATAAAAACTACTATACTCAAATTGCAAAGTTCGATTGTTTGCGGTCCGCAGCCATCGTTATCACATCTTCGAAACGCGGCTCGCATATTCATATCGAAGCCCTGTGATTGGGGTATATTGCCGGTGGAGGCACCACGGGACCCTGGGGTAGATGGAGCTCGTGCATCGGCAACACTGGAAGCAGATGCCGAATTTGGGTCGGCGACCTTCGAACAGTAAATCTGAAAAAAAAATCATCAGTTCTAATTCCAATGAATTATAAACGGACTCTTCAATCATCTAGAGTCTGAAGGAAGAGTTGAAACTGAACTTTTGTCGCAGATAACTATTATTTCGCATAATTAGACACAACAGTCCTACATTTCCGTTTTTAGTAACAATTAGAAAATGTGCTGTGTTGAAATGTTGAAATATGATATGTGGTTTGTTTAATGTATGTGAAATATTGTTGGAATATTGGATAGTCATGGACCAGGACAAAAAACCAAAGCTATTAATATTTCAATATGATCCTTCCCAGCGAGCACAAACATCCCTGGGATGTTTTGGGATGTTTTGAGAATGTTGGCATGAAGATGTTATTTTGAGACGTAATATGCACTGATCATGGAGGTCTTTGAAGGATATTGAAGTATTGTTTTTGTTCTTCTGTGGCATTTCTTTGTTTGCCTACTGAGAGGTATCCCTGGTATGTTTTGGGATGTTTTAGAAATGTAGGCATGAGGATGTTGTTTTGAGGCGTGATATGCACTTCCCAAAGAGGTCTTAGAACGATATTGAAAGTATTGTTTTTGTTCTTTTGTGCCCTTTCTTTGTTTGCCCCACCACAACGTCTCATGCTTACGTCACAATACGATGAATTCTGATTTTTTATCGATTTGGTTCTTCTTGTTCGCAATGGGCTTATATCACAAAAAAATTTTATTTCATAATTCGATAGAACTCACCCAAACTAGCTCACCACCGCAAACCGTTTTTTGCTGTGAGCTTCCTACGTTTTATAAAAAATTATTGAAATCCCCGATTTTTCGGACCTCTGAAAACGAGGCGATGATGTGACGTCAAAACCCTTATACTGAAACAAGACTATTCCAGACAGAGATGAATGATACATGATTTCTGACAGAGTGAATTAGCGCGAGATCACAGTTGAAAGAATTAATATATCAGTTGCCTCAGTCTCCGTCGGGCGTTTAGTACTTTCTTTTAACTATGGCGAGATGAGGTTTCTACGTCATAAGAGGGTCCGTTTTCAGAGGGTTCTATCATTTATGCCCAAAAATAAAATATTCCCAGTTAATTTTTCGATCGAAATATGTCGTCAACCATTATTTATGTATAAAAGGATCATTAAAAACATGGTTTGAGTTAAAAGTTCCACTAAGGTGTACACGCCCATTGGCATTCGCGTTTGCAGCGTGTCACGCTTACATCACGCTGCTAATAAACAGAAAGGAATTTGGTGAAGTTTATTGTCTTAGAAGACTTATTTAGTTTGTGATAATGACCATCAGATGCAAGATGTGTTGGTCGGTGTCTCAGTGTAATCAATATATAAAAGTACGAATTCATCAATACACAGCTTCCCCGCAGTTGCAAAATTATGCATTGTGGAGAACATTTCAAAAATTGGGAATTTCCAATTATATCTCTGTGTGTAGTGAGCACTACTCAGAAACCGATTGAGAAGGTAATTTCATATCAAGAAAATATTTTTATGTTCAATCTATTTTTAATGCATTTTTTCATTCAAGGGAAATGGAATCTAATGCAAAAGTTCATTTTGACAAAAGGCTTCAGAAAAGTACCTCGAAAATGTTTTTTTACAGCGATTTAATGTGCGCAAGACGCGTTGAAAATGTTCTGTTGTGTCCATGAAAAGGCTTTAAAAAGAACTAGGGAGAAGGTAGTTTTGTGACATATCAAGGACATCTCGATAATTGCCGCCTGCGGCGGACATTGGCTATTCTATAATAGTTCTATTCATGTGTGAACAGAACATCGCAGTGGAGGTTCAATGTCTCGAAATCTCGTACTATTTACATCTCTGAGATGTTTTTGTGCTCGCTGGGTTCTATCTGGTGTAGAATCCAAGTTTCATAATTCGAGAACCCTGCGCCAACAGTTATTAATAATTAAGTTTAGTAGGAAGTAGGTATATACCCATATATGTATGAGTAGTTTCAATTGAGGTTCCTTATAAACATATACCTAATCATATTGTTGTGTGACATATTGAATGGAATTATGGAATCTTCAAATTTATATTTCCAAACAATTATGAATGCGGGAGAAGTTGCTATTATTTTATTTTCTTGAAACGAATATCATCAGATGTTGCTGTGAATGGATCATTGATCAATTGAATAAAGAGCCCCACAGTTAGTAAAAGCGACATTTCGAATTTTTCGAAATTCACTTTTTGAATCCCGTTATTCTCGCTATCACATCATTATAAAATCCTCATAAAAGACATTAGGAAGGACGATTTGAGAAAACTCCTTCAAGATGATGATTGGAGAGCTGGCTGCAAATTTCGACCGTCATCTGATAACGAAATGACATTATGTCAAGGCAAGAGGCAAGCAGAAACATTGTAATTTACCGAACGGCACCTGTGCCAATCACTATCCTGAGCAAAATAATTGAGAAATTGATCTTCCTTTCGCGGTCATTTGCGCAAAATGTGGCGATTTGATAACAAGATAAGAAGTATGCCATCCGATAGCAATTGGATGGTGTAACCGGGTGTACCACTAAGAAAGGACGCCGGCTGTCTCTCGGAAACTATTTGCCGCACAGGATTCGGAAAAAAATATTCATGATAAAAGTAGCCAAGAAAAATCTCTGGAAATTACTTTCAAGTTTCCAGGACAGCTCCTAGATGGCTTAATTGCATTGACCAGTTTAATAAACGGGTTTTTATGTAAATTTGATATATCAAGACATATTAAAATAGTAATGCGGAGTTCGGGCAAGCAGTCGAGTGCGGGAAAGACACTTTCCGCATGAGTTAGGAACAATATTTTTCTACAAGCGTAGGAAATTGATTGATTTGATCAATTAATTATTCATTCATATAGGAACAACTAACAAGAGAAATATATTCTCTATCTACTGATAATTAGTAATAGCTATTGAGAACTTACAGTTTGACGCATTATATATAGGTTCATTGCGGAAGCCAGCAGGCCCATGAGGTGTATGGTCTCTAGGATTCAGACACTTCTAGGAAATGAGCCAAAAATACTTCTTCTTTATTCGGTATTTCCATTTCTTCATTGTTGCACCATTCAATAAAACGCGTGTATAGCTTCTCATACCTTTCTTAAGACTTTGTTGGCAATAACGCATCTGTATCGCATCCCTATAGCTGGAAGTTTTTGATCACATTGTGGCAATTCCACTGAATCGAAAATGATAGTAACGCTGTGTCTGTCACTTCGACAATTACAAACTCATTTGAGGTTTGATTGGCATGACAACAATAATCGTTTGCCATCAGATCGATCCAAATCTATAGGAAGATTTTCATGATAATCAATTTTTTTTTATCAATATTCCTCAAATTTTCACAATAAATAGTGTAATTTGATGGATGATTCTGAACATACATACTTAATACTGCAACAAACAAACTCAAATTCTCATATTCCATCACCTACCACTTATATTTTGCCATATTATCATATCTTAGTTTTTCCCGCACTAGTGCGGGAAGAATTTTCCGCAATGATGCGGGAAAATTACACTTCCCAAACTAAATTGCGTGCGGGTATAGGGTGAATCACGCACGCTTGTAGAAAAACACTTTTTTCATGTTCTCGAGTTGATTTCCAATCATTTCGATAAAAAAAATTGCGCTAGCTCTTTAAATAAAAGGAAGGATGAATAGTACTTTGAAACAACTCTCATTACTACTGTTTGGTGTAACGGAATTCAACGATATTGGTCTCATTATTTTTTTGGTTCTTCCAGATGAATCACGAATCAAGTCGATTTAAATCTTGTGGTGGCCGCTAGATGGCATCGTTTGAAAAATCAGACAATTTTAAATTTTTTCCGAAAATTTCAAATGAAACCATATATTCATCCTACTCTAATATGAAATTAGAGCAAACGATAAGGAAAATGGTGAAAACCGCGAATTGATGCATCTCGAGGAACCGGTGAAATACTCGAAATAATATTATGAAAATATTCACCACAGGAATCTAACTTCGATGATCGTAATCAAAAATATCCTGTATCTATGAAATTATGATTTCAATGATTCATTTATTTTGGTTTCACAAACTGCTGTTATAGTAATGACATAGCTAATTTGAATGGAAGAAACGTCAAAATATAATTGAAGTTCCATTGGAAGTTTTCACTGTTCATTGTGAATTGCTCATTTGTCATAATATGCCGATAACGAATGAAGAGGCATTTGACATGCTAATAGTTTAAATTTTAATATTATTCCGAGTATTTCTCTGGTTCTTCAAGAGTTATCAACTCGCGGTTTTTACCATTTTTCTTCTCGTTTGCTCAACTTTCATATTATAGCAGAAAAAATATATGGTTCCATTTGAATTTCTCGAAAAAAAAAATGGCGAATCGACTGATTTTTCAAACGATGCCATCTAGCGGCCACCACGGGATTTGAATCGACTTGATTCCTGATTTTTCAGGAAGATATGAAAAAACCCTTCATAATGAGACCAAGATCGCTCAATTCCGTTACACTAAACTGTAGTAATAAGAGTTTTTCCAGAGTACTATCCATCCTTCCCTCCCTCTTTTATTAGAGCTAGTGCAATTTTTTTTGATCGAAATGATTGGAAATCAACTCGACATCATGGAAAAAGTGTACCTGATATGTCTTGATGTATCAAATTTTCATAAAAACCCGTTTATTAAGTTGAAAATAATTCCCACAGATTTTTCTTGACCACTTTCATCATAAATATTTTTTTCCGAATCCTGTGCGGCAAACAGTTTCCGAGATACAGCCGGCGTCCTTTCTTAGTGGTACACCCGGTACATATCTCAGGACCCTATCTAAGCCAATCCTTGATCTGAGTCAAATCCTCGGCAAAGCGATGTTTTTGCTGCCGTTATTTGGGACATACTATCAGGATATAACGAGTTGAAACAAAATTCAAATAAAAGGAGATAATGTCCTCTTCGTGAATATCTATTCTAAACTTACGCGATTCAAATTTATCTAAGTTAGCGGCAGAGCGTTAATATTTCCCAGAATATTTCGTCCGATTTCGCCCCTGCCTGAAGATAATATCAGAAGAACCAGAACACCAGCGTAAAACTCATGTGGATATCATCTGACTGATTAAGGGGTGACACAGGTAGGGTTTTGTGATGTACCATTGGATAGCTATCGGATTTCATAATTCTCATCTTTTGTTATCAAATCGCGAAATTTCGCGCAAATTACCGCACAAGAAAGGATGCAATTTCCCAATCATCTTGCGCAGGATAGTGATTAACACAGGTCCCATTCGATGAGATACAATATGTTCTTACATGCCTTCGTTATCAGATGCTGACGATCGAAATTTGCAGGCGGCTCTTGGACTATAAATGATTCCTCATCCTAAAAGGAACTTGAAAACTCCCACTTTCAGCGACATACCTTGTTTGAAAAAAATTTGGAGAGGAATTGTAAAAATTCAATTACCTTCAGACGATTTGGAAACGAATCTGCTCCCGTTATCAACATAAACATAAAAACGACTATTTCACTCATCACATAATCTGACCAATCACAAGCCAGTAACAACGTGTGCTTTATCGCGATAGCATAAGCCATCAGCGTTGATGTTTTCAACGTTGTAATCATGGATAGCAAAGCAACGTCTGTCAGTATGGCTGTACTTGCCTGAATGAATCACTCATTTATAATAAATGCTTTTCATGCTTCATGAACGCGAAATAGTCTAGCAGAATACCACTTTGTTCTGAATATCTTCTCATAATTGTGTCTCCCATTGTTATCTCAATTGGGTTGCTCGGCAACACAATTTCGTCGACAGTGAGCGACAGAATTATCTAAAATATTCAGAACATCGTGATATTACTCATGAAAATCAATTTCTCGTTTTTGAAGCAGCACAAACTGTATACTTAGTGTACCTACCTATTCTGATATATTCAAAGGTTCATACGAGGATTCATGCAAAATAAATCATGTTTTGTTTTTCTTCTCTAGCTATGAAAGAATTATGAGAGATTTTACTGACAAACTACTTACATAAATATAACTTTGTCTGGTGGGAAATACTTCATGGATGTTGTGGAAACTACCATTAATCAGGAATTCATGAAACAAAGTTTATTCTACAAAGTTTACAACTCGTAAACCTGAATGGTGTATAAATAACATTAGGCAAATCAATGTTGGGTTGATATATCGTACGAGTATTTCACTTGAGGAAGAGACTGTGTTTGCAAAACAAGTCGTGTTTTTGAGAATTTTATGGAAGTCTTATCGTTTGCGAAGTTTTTTAGTAATTACTTATTGTATTTGTTTTTGTACTAACCGAGGTACTGACCTATGCCTGCTATTTGTAGGCAAACATCCACATGGACAAGAACACACTGAGGTATCATCGGGATCTAATGATGTCGTTTCTGTACAGTGATGTCCTAATTGACCGCTTAGGATAGAGCCGTTGGCCGTTATGACGTCACCTTCTAATCTCACTGCCCCAGCCAACGCCTGGAAAATACAGTTATAAGGTCAATTGCTATGATTGTATATTTTGCATATTATATGCTGTTTCGAACAAATGTCGTGAAATATAGAAGACAATCTTTGGTAGATATTTTTCAAAGGAAGGAAGGAATGCTCGAAGTCGAAAAATTTGTGGAGAAGACTTCGAGCATTCCTTTCTTCCATAGAAGACAATGTTTTGGAGAAATAGGTGTACCAAATTCAAGAATTAATAAATATAAGGTGGTAAATGAGCACTTTGGTATACTTGCTATACCCACCCATTTTCAGAAACCTATCTAGAATAATTCAAAAGTAACAGTCCTGGCCGATTTTTGTGCATTTCTCTGTATGTGTAATAGGATGATTTGCCCCAAAATGTCACTTTGTTTTAACAAATATTTCTATCAGGGAGTCTGAAAGAAATATCAAATAACTTGTCAGTGACAGTGTAAGGAAAAATGAAGGAAATAAATATACATATATATATTGAAAAAATATCGAGTTTTTACTTATCTTTGGACGTTTCGGAAACTAATCTGCTCCCGTTCTCAACATGGAAGTGCAAAAATATTATGATCTTACGAACCGTTGCGGGGTACAGAAAACATGATATAATATACAGGGAAGTAAGAAACTCATAACCGATGCTACAAAAATTGCGAAAACTTTATCTCCTAATTCTCGAATGTCCACTTGAAACTTAATTTTATTCGTATCTCAGAAAATATTATTTTTTGAATTCTAGAAACCGTCAATCAATTTCAAGGAAGCATCAATTATACAGGGTGTCTCAAAAAGATACCGACAAACTATAAGGGAAAAAAGGGGACATCAGAAGAAGCAATTTTGACTATACAGGGTGAGTCATGAGGAATTGTACATACTGCACAAGAAGGGGCCCTTGAGGAGAATACCTAATGACCGTCAGAAAGTGCCTTCTTCTCTTCTTCACCAATAAATCACTGTTTTTATTTATAAAATTTGCTTTATCAACGAATAAAGTATGGTTTACAATAATTGTCCTTGTTCAAAATAAGGACCATTCACTGCATTGCAAATATTGCACCGTCGGGTCATTGACATGCAAATCCTTGGAATATTCCGGAAATAGCTTCTACATCTGTACAACTCGCCATTATCCTTGCTAACAGATCTACCTCATTACGAACAGGTGTTTCGTAGACTGAACTTTTTAGATGACGCCAAAGAAAAAAAACCTAGAGGGTGTAGATCAGGAGAACGAGCGGGCCAGGCAACGGGACCTCGCCTCAGCGTTTACACCGAAATGTGGAGATGCCCCGTCATGTTGAGAACACGCTCCAGATATACTGTTTTTATTTATAAAATTTGCTTTCTTAACGAATAAAGATATAATCGCTCCAGATATAATCTCTTCATACAAGCAAGCTGCTTCTCTGCCATTGCACAGAGCTGCACCGTAAGCCAGGTGCATATCGGTACGTTACGTTCTTCAAATGAGAAATTATTCGCCGTTTCAAATGCAAATTTTGAATCAATATACGACTTTGATGAACAAATGTTCTTGCAGCTCCTGGCCAACTGAATGAAGAACCGAGTAAAAAATGTCTTCACTTATTCATTTGCGGACATATATATGTTTATATAAACAAAAATGCTTGTTCCGATGTCCCCTATTACCCCTCGCAGTTAATCGGTATCTTTTTATCTTTCGATACATCCTGTATTCCAGAAATTAGAGGTACTTCCCGAAACTCAAGTGACGTTCTGTAATACAATTGAGGCTTTCGGAATTCAACGTATAATATATCCTCAACATCAATCAAAGATCATCTATCGCCATTAAAAAGGACCCCGCACATGATATGTTTCAGATATTAGCGTCCTTATTACACAGTCCAATTTACAGATCGATCCTATGACCAGTTTTCGAGCTACATGGTGTCAATCATTTGATTTTGGCTGTTTAGAATTTTTTTGCATCGATTTGCATCCAATTTCTACCTCATGAATCCCTCTATTCGAATAGATAATAATATCACATACATGACAAAGTAATATTCATGGGAATAGACAAATATTGAAAATATCAGAATTTCGATTTTTACTCAATCACTGACTACTTGAAAACCTCGTTGAAAACAAACGGCTGGAATCGGCCAATTATTTGATAACATGAGAATTTATATGATTTCCTGTGCTACGACAATGTCCGGTTAGCCATATACCGGGTGGCTACGGAAGTATTGCCTACGGAATATCCCAGTTATTGTATGAAGTAGGTTTGTGAAAATTGGAGCGTCGATATAATGACATAAGAGCTAGAACTTGAGCATATTGACATGTCGAAGTTAACTTCCGGTCTGACCGGAAGTAACATCAACTTTCTTATTTTAAACGGAAACCCTATTCTTTTCGCTTTATTCAGCGTATATTATGTTGTTGTCATGAGTATTTTTTTTATTGATACAATTGAATTGATTTTGAATTTTTGATATTGTCAATCAAGTTTTGAGTAATAAATCTTTAAAAGCTACAAGACACCTAATTACGCTCTTCTCGTATCTACATTCATTTGCTACATATAGGGTGATGACAATTTGAAAGCTTAGAATTGATGTAACTCATGTACAAAATGGGATACATTTCACGAATGGTTCATAACTGTTTATATAATATATAAAGTGGAAAATAAAATGTCTCATGAAATACCCCCACCAACCCCCTGAGTCACAACCACCCCAATGCATATCATTTCAATAGTAGCCCCTACTTGTGATACCTCATTGAATAGCTCGGTGAAAATGCATTCCAGTGGTATGAGGTATCACAGTTATGACATTCGTGATATGTATTTTTTTTTGTACATGAGTTACATCAACTTTAAGCTTTCAAATTGTCATCACCCTATACATGGCAAACCGGACATTGTATCAGAGGAAATCATATGAATCCTCATGTTGATGATCAAGATCCATAGTGTATCAATAAATTGGCCGATTCTAGCCGTTTGTTTTCAAGTTTTCAGTGATTGAGTAAAAATCGAAATTCTGATATTTCCAATATTTGTCTATTCCCATGAATATTACCTTGTCATGATGGAATGCAATAGCCTGTATGTGATATTATTATCCATTCAAATAGAGGGATGCTTGAGGTAGAAATTAGACGTGGAGCGTCTATTTCTACTGAAGATTCATCACGACTTAGAGCACATAATTCAAATCGATGCAAAATAATTCTAAACAACCAAAATCGAATGATTGACACCATGTAGCTCGAAAACTGGTCATAGGATCGATCTGTAAATTGGACTGTGTAATAAGGACGCTAATATCTGAAACATCAAATTTTCAGAAAAATTAGCCGAAAGCCATTTTCCGTACTAAATGTGCGGTGTCCTTTGTTCACCCGATATTTTTCAACACTCCATATATCACATATCATATTCAATTTTCAAAATCGCAAACTCGCCTGCATAGCTTGTGCCTCGTCCCGTCTCTCGTCCTCGGTATTCATCGTAACGAAACGCAGGACCAGCAAGTTCAGAGAGGCCGCTACAATCGCCAGGCCGAACAAGATGAAAATCAGCGCGAACATCACGTATTCCGGCTTCTGGCTCAGGGCATTGTCCTTCTGGAGTGCCACCTATAAATAAGGACCAACGCATCTTATGATCATGAAACCATGCACATTTTCATACATGCAGGGTGACAAAAATTGGAGAGCACAAACAGAATGTACAATATGAACTATGAAGTGGCGTAACTATCATATGGCAGTTCGGGGGGTTCGGGGTAAAGCCCGAGTGCACAGGGTGATACTATACAGGGTGTCTGTAAAAGGTCTTTACAAAAACATACCACATATTCCTTAGACCAAAATAAGTCGATTTAAGTAAAATTACCTCAGTACAAAGTTGCATCGTTTGGGCTCTAGAGGGCCTTAAAGTTACAATTTTTCAATCGTTTTTCCCATATAAATTTATAACGGCATATGCGATTTTGCTGAAATTTGGTATATCGATACAGTTTTATGTGGCAAGAAAAATGGTGTCAAAATTTTTTCCGATAATAATACATAGGCGTAGAAGTTGATTTTTTAAATAATTGCACCTTTAAAAATTCTACGCCAATGAAAGAAAAGGAGTTTGAGTATGAAATTTAGATTGCGCAACTCATTTACTTTGAAGAAGGTACTCCTGATAAGACTCGATTGCTCTCATGGTTTTGACGAAATTTGCATTTTAGTAATTTTAGAACATAAACAAAAATTATTAAAATACAAACTTTGTCAAAACCATGAGAGTAAATCGAGTGTTATCAAGGGTACTTTTTTGTAGTAAATGAAGACCCAATCAAAATTTCATACTCAAACCCCTTTTCTGCCATTGGCGTAGAACTTGATTTTTTAAATATTAGCACCTTTAAAAATTCTACGCCAATGGCAAAAAAGGGGTTTGAGTATGAAATTTGGATTGGGTACTCATTTACTACAAAAGAGTACACCTGATTACACTCGATTTACTCTCATGGTTTTGACAAAGTTTGTGTTTTAATAATTATTGTTCATGTTCTAAAATTACTAAAATGCAAATTTCGTCAAAACCATGAGAGCAATCGAGTCTTATCAGGAGTACCTTTTTCAAAGTAAATGAGTTGCGGAATCTAAATTTCATACTCAAACTCCTTTTCTTCCATTGGCGTAGAATTTTTAAAGGTGCAATTATTTAAAAAATCAAGTTCTACGCCTATGTATTATTATCGGACAAAATTTTAACACCTTTTTTTTTGCCACATGAAACTATCAACATACCAAATTAGTTTCAGCAAAATCGAATATGCCGTTTTGAATTTATATGGGAAAAACGATTTAATAATTGTAACTTCAAGGCCCTCTGGGGCCTAAACGATGCAAATTTGTACCAAGGTAATTTTACTTAAATCGACCTATTTTGGTCTAAGGAATATGTGGTATGTTTTTGTAAAGACCTTTCACAGACACCCTGTATAGGGGGCTGACACTCTGGTTTGCATAGCTTTGATGACAAGAAAGCGGAGGAAACACTATGAATTATCATGATTACTTTTTCAACCCTCGTATCACAATACGCGAATTAAACATCTGCTATACCTACCGAATTATCAATATTGTTACACATGTTAAACACGAGCTTTCATCATGAAACAGATTTTGGTCAATGAAAACACGTACTTTTCGGCACATATGAAAACACATGAAGCAACATTATTTGTTTTTTTGGTGTATGATGAATTGACATCCATCATACAGGACGTGGAAAGAAATTCTGAATTGAGAAAAACCTAATCACGAATCTGCGATTGAGGTCTATAAAAATAACAAGTTTCCATCGTTCAAGTTTGAACCCCTTGATTGGGTGAAAGTATTGAAAAGGAACATCCTCAGATATATTCATGAACACAAAAAATTGATATATATATACAGTGTGTCCCTAGACCAGTGGGACAGTTGAATATCTCCTAAACCAATAGGATATTTCAAAATATTATAATTCCACATCATATCGCATCATGAGTGCTAACTTCAGGAATGACTAAATTTTATACGAGGGGCGCAAGAAAGGCTCACAAAATCGAACATCAATTTTTTCAAATGGAATACCCCATATATTTCAACATATCTAAATTCTCATATTTCTAGGCTAATTATCAGTTCTTTATGTTTGAAAATCCGACAAGGCGTTGCCAAGTTATACTAGTGTTTCATGAAATGCAGACATTTTTTTAGACAAACCCATCATTCATACTACTAAGAATTTATGGAATCATTCAAGACTGTATTGTTAGTCGGTAGCATATTCATATGAAATACTCATCTTCTTCGAAAGTTATACAGGGTGGACAGAAATATTATATGATTTTCACGAAATTCAAACTTTCTTCACATCAATTTTTCAAAAAGTGCACCCTACAATATGTATAATTTTATATCATGTAATGAAAAATTTTGAAATGTGCCTTGCAGCAAACGGAAGGCAATTCGAACATTTATATAAAAATTATTGTGCCTAATTATTCGTCAAGTCAGTTTTTTTCTTTTTGGGACTGTTTTTTTAGTAGTTAAGTACAGTTGAATAAATAGTTTACTGCATTTTTTTATTTGCATTTGCTGATGATGAAATTTACATCTTTCACATCTATTGACCATGAACAATCAAACCACCAATGGGATATAAAATCATACATATTGTAGGGTGCACTATTTGAAAAATTTATGTGAAGAAAGTTTGAATTTCCTGAAAATCATATAATATTTCTGACCACCCTGTATAACTTTCGAAGACGATGAGTATTTCATATGATAGAATATGCCACCAACTACCAACAGTCTTGAATGATTCCATAAATTCTCAGTTGTAGGAATAATGGGTTTGTCTAGGTATAAAAAAAAAATTCTGCATTTCATGAAATACTGGTATAACTTGGCAACGCCTTGTCGGATTTTTAAAAATAAAAAACTGATAATTTGCCTAAAGGGATGAGAATTCAGATATGTTGAAATATATGGGGTGTTCCATTTGAAAAAAATTGATGTTAGATTTTGTGAGCTTTTCTTGCGCCCCTCGTATAAAATTTAGTCATTCCTGAAGTTAGCACTCATGATGCGATATGATGTGGAATTATAATATTTCGAAAATTCCTATTGGTTCACGAGATATTCAACTGTCCCACTGGTCTAGGGACACACTGTATATATAAAGAAATACATTGAGAATTCGCATTCTCCATGTGATGAAAATATTGATTGTATATCATGAAGAATGGCTGAAAGAATAACTTCAGGTTACTGATGATGATATCCGAAATGAATTCATATAACCCGTTTGTGAGAGATATAATTCCCATATCACTGATACGAATGATTTTTTTGGAAGTTCCAAGCTCATCAAGATCAGAGTTCATGAAAGTATACTTCTCCTATACATTTCAATGTTCATTTCAATGCTGAACATATAGGTAAGTTAAATTTTTATATCATAATACATCATATTATTCTATTCGATTTGAGAGATGATGTCAATTCTCAATTTCAGAGGATTTTTATTTTTCATGCTCAATGTTTGACGTGGCAAATAACCAGGAAAGTACCTAGTTATTGTCTGTTGAATATTCGGAATTATATTATATGCATATCTTTATTTGAAGGAGAATGCAAATTCTCTACTTCAGAAGATTTTGTTTTCAAATTCTTATCGTGTGTGTTCAATAGATGTAATTCAATATTCGTCGTGGCATATAGCCAGGAAAGTAGTTGTTTTCTGTTGAATAAACCGAGAAAGAATTAATATTTTCATCACATGGAGAATGCGAATTCTCAATGTATCTCTTTATATATATCCATTTTTTGTGTTCATAAATATATCTGAGAATGTTCGTTTTCAACATTATTTGTTTCGAAAAAGAGAAGGAATTTTTTATCATCATCAATGAAACGGGTTGTATCTGTTTGGATAATTTCTCTAAATATGTCAAGAATGAAACAATAATTTTACATGAATATTCAAAGCAATAAGTGTTTCTTTACTTCTACTCAGGTGGCGATCGTGTCCATCTGGCAGATGCCGAACTCCTCATGGGTATTAAATGCTAGAATGTATTTACGTTGGGTCAGGTTCGCAGCATATTGCGGTCATGAATACCATCTGGAGACACCCCTGCACTGATGAGAGCCAAAAACTCGAAACTGGTCTGTAGGTAGTCGACACAATTCAGCATTCAGGGTTGAACCATTCGCGATCTTATTCGTCTATACGAATCATTGCATAGATTTCGGGAGGATGTTTTTCAAAATTTTTTTGGATGTATGACAAATTGATATTCATCATACAGGGCGTGGAAAGAAATTCTGAATTGACGAAACCTAATCACGAATATGCGATTAAAGGTTTGTGAAAAGAACAAGTTTCCATGTGCAAAAATGTGCTTGTTGCGGTTGAATTCATCAGTAATATAAGGTGATAGAATAGTTGAAACTAGGCAACTCACCATATCCCCGAACCCGATGGTGGTGAGCGTGATGAAACAGTAGTAGACCGAGTCGAAGTAGGTCCAGCCCTCGTAGCGGGAAAAGGCCGCTGCCCCACCAGCTATCGTTAACGAGCTGAGGAACGTCACAACGCAGATGAGGTCGAGCTCGGAAGCCGTCGTCTGCCGGCAGTGCAGAGAGGATTTCACCGAACGGATTATCACGCTGGAATCGAAAACCAGATGGCCGTTGTCAGTTATTCTCTCCCTCTCCCTCTCCCTCTCCCTCTCCCTCTCCCTCTCCCTCTCCCTCTCCCTCTCCCTCTCCCTCTCCCTCTCCCTCTCCCTCTCCCTCTCCCTCTCCCTCTCCCTCTCCCTCTCCCTCTCCCTCTCCCTCTCCCTCTCCCTCTCCCTCTCCCTCTCCCTCTCCCTCTCCCTCTCCCTCTCCCTCTCCCTCTCCCTCTCCCTCTCCCTCTCCCTCTCCCTCTCCCTCTCCCTCTCCCTCTCCCTCTCCCTCTCCCTCTCCCTCTCCCTCTCCCTCTCCCTCTCCCTCTCCCTCTCCCTCTCCCTCTCCCTCTCCCTCTCCCTCTCCCTCTCCCTCTCCCTCTCCCTCTCCCTCTCCCTCTCCCTCTCCCTCTCCCTCTCCCTCTCCCTCTCCCTCTCCCTCTCCCTCTCCCTCTCCCTCTCCCTCTCCCTCTCCCTCTCCCTCTCCCTCTCCCTCTCCCTCTCCCTCTCCCTCTCCCTCTCCCTCTCCCTCTCCCTCTCCCTCTCCCTCTCCCTCTCCCTCTCCCTCTCCCTCTCCCTCTCCCTCTCCCTCTCCCTCTCCCTCTCCCTCTCCCTCTCCCTCTCCCTCTCCCTCTCCCTCTCCCTCTCCCTCTCCCTCTCCCTCTCCCTCTCCCTCTCCCTCTCCCTCTCCCTCTCCCTCTCCCTCTCCCTCTCCCTCTCCCTCTCCCTCTCCCTCTCCCTCTCCCTCTCCCTCTCCCTCTCCCTCTCCCTCTCCCTCTCCCTCTCCCTCTCCCTCTCCCTCTCCCTCTCCCTCTCCCTCTCCCTCTCCCTCTCCCTCTCCCTCTCCCTCTCCCTCTCCCTCTCCCTCTCCCTCTCCCTCTCCCTCTCCCTCTCCCTCTCCCTCTCCCTCTCCCTCTCCCTCTCCCTCTCCCTCTCCCTCTCCCTCTCCCTCTCCCTCTCCCTCTCCCTCTCCCTCTCCCTCTCCCTCTCCCTCTCCCTCTCCCTCTCCCTCTCCCTCTCCCTCTCCCTCTCCCTCTCCCTCTCCCTCTCCCTCTCCCTCTCCCTCTCCCTCTCCCTCTCCCTCTCCCTCTCCCTCTCCCTCTCCCTCTCCCTCTCCCTCTCCCTCTCCCTCTCCCTCTCCCTCTCCCTCTCCCTCTCCCTCTCCCTCTCCCTCTCCCTCTCCCTCATTCAATATGTCATTTTCCTGCTCTATACCAAACAAATAAACGTGTCTGGTATATTCGCTATATCACTAGCTCTCACTAGGGTCCTTTTATGTAAATTGACGTATTTGTCATCTTGACAGGGTACGGACAGATCCTCGTCTCCTCTCACTCTAAAGTGTTTTTGAAACAGTCATATAGTTCCATCTTTATTCATTTCTGGGGATAAACACTAAATTTCTGACATTTGTTGTTTTTTTAGGTTATATTGAGGGCATTGGCGTATCATACGAAATTTCCACATATAATTTCTCATTCAACTTTACATATTATATCCAAATGATGATGATAATTTTAGAGTTTTTGATTCTTCAACTTCAGCATAATCTTCGTGAGGCAGTGAACAAATGTTTCTGAAAGTTTTATACGTTTTACCAAATGGGACTGTTCTCAGGCAGTACCTATCAATAAATGAATTTTGATTTCAGACTAAGGCTTATGGTTGAGAAATGGTGGAAAATTTTATCAAGGTATTCAAACTAATGTGCTCATATGTCATGTGTGATGTATATATTCATGTTGTGAAATAATTTTCGCAGTTTTTCACGAACACTTAATATTTCCTGAATGTAGGTATAATTTTTTTAATGGTAGGGCATGTGCCTCTTCTTTTAATCCTTCGTTTCAATCAAAACTGTTTCTACTAAAATCTCTTCAAAAACTTGTGGAGTGGAATTATAGGCACAATGATATGTGATATCGTATTAGTTTTACCTCGATTATTTTGCTGATGTATTTACCAATTTTCCCCATTCTTTCACTTCACTTTCCATGTTCCAAGTTCATTTGCATTTGATGGAACCACGAAACCAAAGTCACTAGACGGTTAGAAGAGAAAGGAGCTATGATCTGTCCGTACCCTGTTGACAAATACGTCAGTTTGCATCAAGGGACCCTAACTCTCACCTGCTGAGCCTGTTGACTCTCTCGCCGATACTCTGGAACATGACCAGACCCAGCGGAATGCCTATGATGGCGTAGCACATGGTGAAAAGCTTGCCAGAGACGGTGCTAGGGGTGGAGTGGCCGTACCCGATGGTCGTCAGCACGGTGGTGGCGTAGTAGAAGGCGCCCGTGAATTTCCACTGCTGGCCGGCCCTGTGCGGCTCTGATTTTTGCACGATCGTCTCCATGATGCGGAAGTCCTCGCTGGTTATGTTGTACTTGCGTCTAACTATCGCCTGAATTTCTGAAACGGATGGATTTGAAGGGTAACTGTTTCGGGTACAGGGCTTTCACAAATCATAATGGCTATTGAAATATTTATTTTACGCCGGTGGGAGTAGAAGTTGGTCCCTCTGGTGACAAAAGAGGGGTAGAAGTCTCGTATTATTCCCTAGGGAGATAATGTGATATATTTTCTCCGTAGGGAGTTTATACCAACTTTACATTTTCCGCATAGCTCAGCGGAACATCCTTCTCTGAAGCGAGTTTGAGCTGATCCATACAGATTTCTAGATCTCACTGGTAGCAAGTTAAGAATCACTGCAGAAGCAGTATCAATAGTTTCTTGGGGTTTTCCCTCGATTTCTTGTTCCATAACCGTCAACCATTTTCAAAGCTGTTTTCATAAATTTCAGTTTGATATTTGCTGTCACCAAGGGTTATAAACAAGATGCATGTTGTCAAGATACGAATTCCACAAACTATACTACTACTAATTGTGACAAAACACTTTGACCAAATTTTCATTCTTTTTAAATTTTTGTGTATTTGCCAGCGTAAAATAGTTTTATATTAACCAAGGTAGTAAAGAATATTATTATTACCAAGGAACCAAGATTATATCCCGAGGCTTCTGTCGAGGGTTTATAAGGTTCCGTGGTAATGATATTCTTTTTTTTATCGCTTGGAGCGCACGAAAGGGAATCCCTATAATGTTCAGAGAACATCGTGCGTTCCTAGGGAGGATAGGGACAGGAGGTAGGTATTGTAATTTTTTTTGAACTTTTGGAGATCATATGTTGTTGGGAATACTTCCACAGGCAATGAATTCCAGAGCCTAGCCGTTCTAGGTGAATATTATCGATCTGTGAAACTGAAATATGTACATATTGTTACGTTATTCGGGTGCAGTAGCGAACACGACACTATTTATTTTCGGACTGATTTATTTCAACTAATTTATATTGAACTTATAACTACTATTTATGTAAAATGATTTATATCGAACGGTATATGACTGTCTCTCTGAAACTCGCTGCTTGACTGCCAGACTGCCTGACTGCAGTTGTTTGGCCGTCCATATATATGAGATCTCTTGGTAGGCTTTGCTTCTCGAGCGTTCTCGAATGATCTTCCGTACCCGTAAATATGCTGGTGCATGTAGGAATCATTGAGAGGTTGGAGAACAATCTGGGATGCGTGTTACAGGATGATCATTGTACTCCTGTCTTCCTGATGATGTTTATATGGCACTGTCTTCTCTCTTGGAGTTTCTTTGGAGTTCCAGCAGCATACCAGAATTTCAACTCCGGTGAATCTAAATACAACCTCCAGCATGCTCCTTGAAACTCTCCAATTCAAGCCATCCAGACCACACGCCAGCTTTGGAACAGCTATCTTCTGTATGTCCTTCTCGAGTATGGCGCTTTGCAAGTCGACTAGTATCTCCCGGAGATCCTTGTAAGTGGGTTTCTCAGAAGATCTTCCTTGCGTCATAAGATAAAACAGAGATCTTTTTCCCCGCAGGGCTGATATCTTCTATTTCTAGTGCTTGACCGACGGAGGGACCCTGTTGATGAAGCTCCTCTAACTTCCCGAATTTCCTCATGAACTTGTTGGCTATTCCTTGAGACATCTGAAGATCCTCGGCGACGCAGTGAGCTGGTGCGTATTCTACAGGAGTGGCAAAAAGGTCGCGATGCTCTTCCTTGGTGACGCCAAACCTTGCTTTTGATGAACTACTGTATGTCCCAATGAATTCGTCAAATGTGAGCCGATTTTTTTCCAGACGTACTTGTTAAACTTGTTGATCTTGTGTTCCCTCGAATGGTGCTAGTCTGTTGAAATGAACGACTCTTGGTTTGCCACTGGGTTCTTTACTGATGCGGTAAATGACATCGTTGATCTTCTTCTTGACGGTATAAGGTCCTTCCCAAGATCTCTGTAGTTTTGGACAAATACCTTGTTTCCTTTGTCGATTGTACAACCACACCACGTCACCTTCTGCGTGTCCTGCACCCCCAGCTCTGATGTCGTGTCGGTCTTTCAGCGATCGCTGGCGATTTTCAGATTAGAACGAACCAATTCGTGAATATCGTTCATATTTTTCATCAGATTCGTAACGTAATCTTCCCCCACTATGTCCTCAAATAGAACCTTCGCCGGAGTCTGTCCTGTAGATTCCTGTACTGCAGAACTGTAGGCCATCAAGAAGGAATAAGATGTTGATCCCAGTCTTGTTGGTGTTGATCTACGACTTTGCAGAGATACATCCCTATGGTTCGGTTCATTCGCTCCACCATGCCATCTGACTGTGGATGCAATGGAGTTGTTCTTGTCTTCTTGAATTCTTACTTCTCGCTCATCTTCTTAAACACTTCACTCTAGGAGTTCCGGCCCTGATCAGAGTGAAGTTAATCATTAGGACATCGGCGACAGTTACGGCTTCCTGGTTAGGGATCGCATACGCTTCTACCCACTTGGTGAAGTAGTCCATGCAGACAAGGATGTATTTATTTCCATTATCAGTCACTGGAAACGGCCCCGCAATATCCATGGCAATCCTTTCGAAAGGGCTTCCAACATTGTACTGTCTCATAGGTGCCCTTGGTTCACGATGAGGCCCATTGCTGGCAAAGCACACGGTGCATTTACGGCACCACTCCCTGACGTCGTCACTGCAGTTCACCCAGTAGAACCGCTCTCGTACCCGCTGCAGTGTCTTCTTCACTCCTAGATGTCCTCCTGAAGTTCCATCATGTACATATTCGAGTACTTCCGACACTCGGCTCCTAGGGATGACCAACTGCATCTGATTATCCGACCCATCATCGCTCTCGAGATTCATGTTGAGCAGGTCATCTCCTAATACCAAGGAGTCCCACTGACTTCAGTACGCCTTCAAAGTCTGTGAAGATGGTGCTATTTCTTGCCAAGAAGGGCGGCGATGCGCTTTTTTCCATTCTCGAAGCTTCCGAAGTTCTGGGTCCTTTTCTTGCTCTTGCTTGATTGCCGCAGGTAACCAATCTTCATTGACAACGGTGGTTCTGCAGAGGGCTGCTTCCCAATCCTCCAAACGACTACAATGTGAGCACTCAGGTGGACATGGCCTTCTGGACAATGCTTCTGCATTCTTATGGCTCGTCCCCACTCGGTGTGATATCTCGAAGTCATATTCCTGGAGCCTCTCGATCCAACGAGCTACTTGGCCTTCGGGGTTCTCAAAATTCAAAGAGCCACTTCAATGCAGCGTGGTCCGTCCTGAGTAGGAATTTTCGTCCATAGAGGTACTTATAGAAGTGCTCCACTGATTTTACCATGGCCAATAGTTCCCTCCTGGTAACGCAGTAGTTCCGCTCTGCCTTTGATAGCACCTTGATGAAAAAACTGATGATTCGCTCTCGCCCATCCTGATACTGCGGAAGGACTCCACCAATGCCGATATTACTGGATCTGTGTCAAGAATGAATTGTCCTTGTGGAAGTGGATACCCAAGAATCGGTGTCGTGGTCAAGCGTTCCTTCAGAGCATCAAAGACGGCCTGGCATTCTGGATCCCAGTGGAAGAGACATGCTTCCTTGGTGAGACGAGTCAGAGGCTTTGCGATATCCGAAAACATTCGAACGTAACGTCGATAATAAGTGCAGAGTCCAAGAAAGCTCCTGAGTTGATGCTTATCTTTTGGTACTGGCCATTGCTTCACTGCTCGTACCTTCTCAGGGTCGACTTCCACACCCTGCCTTCCTACGACGTGTCCCAAGCAGTTAACCCGTTTCTGCAGCAGATGACATTTCTTCAGATTGAGTGTGGGGTTTGCAGCCTGAAGTATCTTGAAAACTTCTTCTAGGTTAGCCAGATGTTCTTCAAAAGTTTCACCGATCACGATGATGTCATCCAAATAAATCAGGCATGTCTTCCAGGAGAGTCCCCTCAACGTATTCTCCATGATTCGTTCGAAGATAGAATACGATATCACAGATCACAATTGTTACATCGCTGGGATATCCCTGCTGGGAAAGCTAAGCCTCCCGCCAGAACCGAATTTCTATGCGCATGTGCGGTATCGCTATGGTAACAGGGAATTACTTCTACAAACTCTGCTTCGGTCATCCCACTCCACTTGGAAAAATATAAATGATCAGAAATATTCTTATTTCTTCAATTTAATTATTGAACTCGATTAGTTACTGATCTGTGTAGCCAAATTGGTCAATAATGAGTATTTTTTTCATCAAGAATCGAAGCTCTCGTATCTGGTAGTTGGGTGATCTCTGCCACGGTCGCTTTAATAAAGCTAATTCAATCAAACTAAACTACCTACTATGGCAACAGAGTTGAAGAAACAATGAATCAGATAATACATTGAAGATATCATCTTCAGTTTTTTGCCATTCTTTGGAAACAATGGATTTGTTTTTCAAGTATTCCATACTTTCATGAGTACTGGGATGAGTCGGTATTAGGAGCAACATATTTCTGTGCGCGCACTTGAAACATGTGAATATCTAATGGCCTTACTGTAGTCAGTAGCTGCTACAACTATTGAAACACCCACCAACTTAACATACTATATTCAAACAGCACTGACACTTTCTGTACAATAATTTTATTATGATAATAATTACGATCTGCTCTCTGCAAACGTTAGCACCAGAATGACTCGAACGTCGAACGGTCACCTATGCTGTTCTGTGCAATTTGATTGACACATGATCAATCACTAGAATTATTATAAAACAGATAGGTGTAATGACTAGAAATATCTTGCTTTTCTGTGCAATGTGATTGGCACTTGACCAATCACTAGAATTGATAGTGCACAGACACAGTGATTATTTATTGAGAATGCTCACTCTACTCTGTGCCTGTAACTCGAACGGTTTCATATGCTCCAGACCAACGACTGCTTCATATGGGCGTTGTGACCTGGAGGTGTGGAGATCCTCCTTGACTTTGTAACGGTCGTGTGGTAATACTCCAGTAACACGAAATGGACCTCTGTATTTGGGAAGTAGCTTTTTACTC